GCAGCCCCCGGCCACGCCGCCGCGCTCGCCCGGGAGCACCCTGAGACCCTTGGACGGACGGAACGCCCGAGGTAAACAACTCACGGGCATGGCGCCGCCTCTCGCCGGGCTCCCGGCCTCGCGCTCCAGCTACGGCTGCCTCCGGGCGAGCCCTCGCGCGCGACTTCCGAGATCGAGGCGAGCGGAGGGGATGGGGCGGAGCGGCGGCGCGCGCGTCCGTCCTCTCTAGGCGCTCTTCTCGGTGGTGCTGGAGGTCCGGCTTGGTCAGTGGAGCCCCGCCCAGGGCGGTGTTGAGGGCGGCGGAGGCGGGCTGCTCTGCGCGTGCGCGGTGTCCCTTCTTTCGGGTGCTGCGGATGGGGTGAGGCCGGTTCGAAGCCCGGGCACACACACCCCCCCCTTCCCCCCCCCCATCCTCCCCCTTCCCCCCCCCCCCCCCCGCCTTCTATGGTTTCTAAGTCCTTTGCAGGCCGTGCCTGTGCCTTAGGTTTGCTTTGCTCTGAAGTCATATTTTGTTTGGGTTTTGCAGCAGAAGGGTTGAACCCTCCTTAGCTGTGTCACTCAGCCTTCCTTCCCCTCCCCCAAATTGAGCCTCTGCCTTTCTAAATTTCCCAAACTGGAAATGCACCTGCCTCAGTTCCCAGAGTAGCTGGGATTACAGGCGTGTTCCACAACACCCGGCCTTGCGATCTCTTTTAAGCAGTAGCCAATTCCCTGCTATGCTCAGTGCTTTTTTTTTTTTTTTTTTTTTGGGTCCGGTTGTGGGGCCTGAACTCTGGGCCTGGGCACTGTCCCTCAGCTCTTCAGCTCAAGGCTAGTGCTCTACCACTTAAGCCACAGCGCCACTTCCAGCTTTTTTCTTTTTGCTTATGTGGTGCTGAGGAATCGAACCCAGGGCCTCGAGCATGCAAGGCAAGCGCTCTACCACTGAGCCACCTTCCCAGCCCCATGCTCAGTGCTTTTTAAAGAGGCCCTTTGCTTCCCTTCCAGAAGTGAGCTCCCTTAAGTAAGGAAGGATCTCTCCCAGGATCGTGAACACTTTCCAGACCAGATAACTCCAGCCTAAAACAGTGGCGAATGCCCACATTCCCTGACATTAAAGGCATCTCATGTGGACAAGTTTGAAGGATGCATATGTGAATGAAAACTGAAAAGCCCTGGAGTCACCTGAGCAGAAAAATGCCCCATTGAATCACCTTTCTATTGCTCTTTGCAAAAGCAATTCACATATTAAAATTTTGGAAAACAGAACAGAGAGAAATTAAAATGACCTCCTAGAAATAAACATCACTGTAAGGTTTTAGGTGAAGAAAGAACATGCAGGAGGAATAAAAAGAAAAGTTTATTAGAGTGCGTTCCTGGGTAAACTCCCTGGTCAGGATCAGAGAGGTTGCCCAGGGTCTGTTTGTGGCAGGGTTTATATGGCCCTGGTCAGCAGGAACTTTTAGCATGTAACTTGTTTTGCAAGTTTGAGCAATTTCAGGCTAGTGACCCCGAAGAACGATTGGGACAGGTGGTGTATAAGGAAATGGCTTTTCCCGGCTGCTTCTGCCCCTCAGCAGCCTGACAATCACTACTTGTTTTTTTTCCATTTTTCTTGTGCTGGCCTCCGGGGCTTGAACTCAGGGGCCTGAGCACTGCCCCCAAGCTCTTTTGCTCAAACCTAGCACTCTACCACTTGAGCCATAGCTCCATTTCTGACTTTTTTGCTGGTTAATTAGAGATAAGAATCTCATGGACTTTCCTACCCAAGCTGGTTTCAAAACAAGACCCTCCAATCTCAGCCTCCTGAGCAGCTAGGATTACAAATGTGAGCTACCAGCACTCGCTAATCTTTCTTGATGCCTGCCTTTGATGTTCTTCTGTCTCAAGTTAGTGTGATGAAAAGAAACCAAGGGACTATTGAATTCTGACTCTGCCTCAGCCAACTTATCTCTAAACTTAGGAAGACAACTTGTGTTCATTTGGGGATGAATGAGCTTACTGTAGAGAGCCCTGTTTTTCTCCTTGGAACGTGTACACAGGCACACATATATGAAATACTTGTTTTTCCATTTGATAAAAACTGATTAAAAGGCTAATAGTTAAAGGATTCAGTATTAAGAATAGGGCTCTATTTATTCACACTGGAGAACTTACTTAACTATTTATGGAATGCCTGCTATATACTAAGCAGCAAATAATGTAATGGCTCCTCCCTAGAAGCTCAGGAAGTATACAGCCACTGAATCTCCCTGAATTGCTTCCCCATTTATAAAATTTTTAAAAAACCTATACCTTTTCATAAGGTTATATATATGAAGATAAAATAAAACTGTGCATACTTTACCCTAAATGTTCAACCAATGCTAAGTGTAATTTCTTGTGTTTATTAACAATACAGAAATTAGCCAAGTGCCTGTGGCTCACACCTGTAATCCTACCTACTCAGGAGGCTGAGATCTGAGGGTGGAGGTTCAAAGCCAGTCTAGGCAGGAAAGTTTGTGTCTTTCTTATCTCTAATTAACTACCAGAAAGGGGGGAAAGCCTTGGAAAATGCAATGTTTTATCAACAAGGCTAGTGTATCTGCAGAAGATGACTTGTCTTTGATAAAAGCTGAGAGACTGTTCTTTCAAAATCCAATAGGTGGTACAGGACTAGTGCTGGTCAAACAAGAGCCTCAACATCCTGCTTGGGGAGACAGCTTTTGGAGCACCTTCCTGGCAGGAGGTTTGTTTGTTTGTTGTTGTTGTTTTTGTGGTCAGTCCTGGGGCTTGAACTCTGAGCTGAGCACTGTTCCTGAGCTCCTTTGCTCAAGGCTAGCATTCTACCACTTTGAGTCACAGTGACACTTCTGTTTTTCTGGTAGTTAACTGGTGATAAGAGTCTTATGCACTTTTCTTTTTCTTTTCTTTCTTTTTCTTTTTTTGTAGTCGTGGGGCTTGAACTCTGGGCCTGGACGGCATCCCTGAGCTCTTCAGCTCAAGGCTAGGGCTCTCCCACTTGAGCCATAGCACCACTTCTGGTTTTTCTGGTGGTTTATTGGAGATAAGAGTCTCACAGATTTTCCTGCCCTGGCTGGCTTTGAACCTTGATCCTCAGATCTCAGTCTCCTGAGTAGCTAGGATTACAGATGTGAGCCACCAGGACCTGGCTCATTGGGAATATCTATCCATCCATACGGGCACTTCTAAGCCTTATTGTTTTTTTATTACAAGGCAGGAACAGTGTAGGTCTTCATACATATAGCTCTGTGGCAGTGTTATTTTATTCCCAGAATAAAAGAGAGGGACAGACAACAGAAATAGAAAATGTGAGAAACAATTGGACCACCGTAGCCGTCTACATAAGGGCCAACTGACCTTGAGGAAAGAAGAGTTGATCTACTTGATCATTTTACTAAGCTTAATGTATCACATAGAATAAGAGCTCAATAAGGGAGCACATTCTCATATGTGCTCACATTCTGATGTGTATGGTCCTGGGACTGAATTTAGGACCCCACCTGCTTGCTAGGCAGGTATTTTTTTTCCCAATGAGCTATGCCTTTAGTCTTTTGGTTTTTGTTGGTTTATTTCAGATAGGGTCTCACACTAACCAGGCTGGACTGAAACTGTGATCCTCCTACTTCTACTTCCTAAGTAGCTAGAATTGCAGGAATGTACTACCATGCTCAATCTGATTTGTTAACTATATAGTAATAAAGAATTTCAGGTTAAGAAGGGACAATCTGCTCCAGTTTTATAGACAGCTTCAATTTTTCTTTATATTATATCAAGATCTACTTGTTTAAGTTAAATTCAGCTTTTATGGTTCTGGCTGAGGGATGAAACATAGAAGCACAGGTTGTTTTTTCTAAACAAAGCTGACTAAAGATGCTGTTTTTCTTCTTAGGCTGAGCTAGCATTATACCAGTGAATTACATAAACACAGCTAACTGAAATCTTAAGTCTTTTTTAAATGTTACAAAACCTCATATCTTTTCTGCTATATTGGCATTTTAAGAAATCTGAGGAAGACTGGGTACCAGTAGCTCACACCTATAATCCTAGCAACTCAGACTGAGACCAGAAGATCTTGGGTCAAAGCCAGCCCAAGTAGAAGCCTCTTAACTCCAAACAACCAGCAAAAAGCCAGGAGTAAAGGCGAGGTTCGAGTGGTAGAACAGTGAAAAAGCTAAGGAAGAGCATGAAGCTCTGAGTTCAAGATCCAGTACTAACACACACACACACACACACACACACACACACACACACACACACACACAATTCTATGTTAGACCAAATTCTAGTCTGCCATCAATAATGTCATTCACTTTCTTGTTCCACAAGCAAGTGCCCCAGGAAATGACTAAGAAGAACACTGCTTCAGCGAGACCCATGGATCTTGCATCCAATCATCATCAGCAAAATTTCCCTGTGTGCTTCTCATAGACCACCAGGTGGACATTAGGCAGCAGACTCTTTCCATGCAAGCAGGAGCCCTGGCCTGGCCCCTCTCCCTGCCCCACTGTCTTAGCCAAGGCTCCTTGGGTTTCAAATAACCAAGATAGCTCATCCTTGCCTGAGCTAAAGTGGACAGTGCACTGGACATGGGCCAGGGCAGGAAGGGCAGCCGGGCCCCATGGGGGTGGCAACAAAACTCTGAGAGGCCACTGGGAGTGGGGACAGCAATACTCTTGCCCCTCCTTTTGTCTCGCAGGGCGACCCAGTTTCTCATCTCTCCCTCTGACACAGCTTCAGTCTCTTCTTGTAGCCCAGTTTTCTCTGACTTGCAGGGCACATCAGGAAACAGCCATGGCCACTGTTTTAGGCTGTCCTCATTCCACAGCCACTTGTGGCTGGCCAGAGGCCAATGTCCCAATTCCAAATGGTCTACAGTGAATCTGGTGATCTTAACTTAGGGAAGGGTGACTACCCCTCATTATTCCTGGCCAGGGCAGCTACTTGAATAATGCGCTCTGTACAGGGGCTTAGGAAACACCACAGAGTACCTATTTTTTTCTTTTTCTTTTCTGATCGTGGGACTTGAATTCAGGGCCCAGGCAACTCTGAGATTTTTTTTTTTCTCAAGGCTAATATTCTACCACTTGAGCTCCACTTCTGGCTTTTTTTAATTGGCCAAGTAGAGATAAGACTCTCACAGATTTGGGCTGGGAAGGTGGCTCAGTGGTAGAGCACTTGCCTTACATGCATGAGGCCCTGGGTTCGATT